CAATATAAGTGGCTGCTTAAAATGTTATTAGATTGTATCTGTTTAATCTTAGGGTGTTGGGGGGCAGGGGGCAGGTAAATGCTCCCTGCACAAAGTTAATGTATTTCAAGTATCAATTTCCTATCCATCTAACCAGTGAGAAAATGCTGATTTATTTTCTCCCCTTTCGTATGTGGGAAATAGAAGGCATTAAAGCTGAGATGGAATGCTGCTGAAAGCTTCATCAACTTCTCTAAAGATCATTTGCACTCTTGTTGTAATTTTGACTAATTTTTCATGTGTGGTTTGTGAAATCAGAGGACTGATTGTTGCCAGGACATATTATAATATGCTTCAGCTCACCACAACAGGGCTTTCAAGGTCGCCAGCTAACTTTGTGAGTAGATGTAAAAAAGAATTATTCCTTTTTTCACATAAAAATGAGTGGCCATTATTTATAGTAAAGAATTCAGATTAAACTTTATGTAAAGTTAAATAAATCTGCAAGTGAGAAACTTGAAATGTTAAAAGTAGTTTATGGTGACGAAGTAATGTCAAGAACAAGAGTTTTTGACTGGCACAAAAGGTTTAAGGAACATACAGATGATATCCATGATGATGCTTTAGTGGCCATCCAGTCACCCATAGAACATATGAAAACACTAAGGAGGTCAGAAGTTCAGTATGCTCAAATAGCCAATTTACTAAGAGAAATGACTGAAAAGTTAAATTTAGGTAAGGAAACAGACTAACTCTGAAAGAAAATTTGCACGAGAGTAAAATTTCTGGCAAGGTTATATCTCTTGCTACTGTGATCGATGATTATGTAGAGCCAAACCAAAATAGAGCTACACAAGAACCTGCCACTTGGGTGTATATTCAGGGCACAATCACAGTTTTGTTTCATGGGTCTTGGAGAAACTTGAGGCTGTATCTAAAATGAGCTGAGCTTCAAACATTTTTTACTGGCTTTGTAGTTACATGATTTAAGCAGAGTGCAACCTGTTGAGTGTGATAAAATAGAGAACACAAAGCTAGAAGTTTATTGGGAGAAACCTGTTTCCTCAGAATGAGAACTAACATGGAGGCATGTCTACCTTATTTCTTCAAGGTGGGTTCATCTGAATTAACAATAGTTTACCTACAGGCTTGGAGTTAAACCTTAAACTAGGAGCTAGCAATTAGTGTCACTCTATATGGAACTATATTAAAAAAGGATAAGAGAGTAGCCACTTTTAAGCAAAAATGTTTAGACTTGTAACAATGAAAACTTCTTTTTCTTGTGGAAGATTGAGCTCAGATGTTGGAAAGAGGTATGCAAGTCTGTCAGCAAGAAGGAAGTAGAAGAGGCTGTAAGGAGTGATGAGCAGTCCATATAAAATACACTCTCCCCTTCTATCTATATCCTTCACCCCCTAAAAAAGGGAGGACCTGATTTTGGTCAAAACCTCACAAAGCTTTCTATTATTTTTGTACTCTAACTCTCGATTTTAAACATTTTTTATTTATAAACTGCAGGTTGGAATTTGGTGTGAAGGGTAAACGAATAGGGCTGAGTTTTGATCCTTTCATCAGGAGAATGAAATTCCATAGGTTGAGAATGGTTTCCACATTTTCCATGTACTACTGAGTGTGGTGGTTATATCTTAAGCTTCAGTTCTAATAGGCATTAATCAAAGGGAAGGCATTATCTTGAATATTCATGAGACCATAAATAGCTTCAAGTACATTATGGTCAAATGGGTAGTTTTGCTGAAACATTATTTAAAAAAATTGATAATTCATGTCAAAGTTGATATAGATATGGTATGCTTATACAGAAGTAATAGGTGAAAATGGTTTCACACAAAAGAAATTTTGATAAACCTAGAAAATAATGCAAAAAAAAGATTTTCAGATATCTTTGTCCATGAACATTAGCATTTTAGCTAAGGAGCCAGTCGTATCATGCATTGTTTCTTCCTATAAGAATAAATTTTGTTTGACAAGTTTGAACTCATTCAGAAACTTGAATTCTTTGCCCGTTTCCTTCCTAGTCTTTAGTATGAAGAGGCCATCATTTAGTATTGATATTGTTGCAATCTAGATACATCAGAATTACAATATATAGGACTTAAGGCAGAGCCCTGTGGTAGTGACCCTGAGAAGGCTAGTTTTATTAGTTATACTATTTGTTTTTTTTAAAGCCTCCCAGAAATTCAAGTTTACATTTCATGGAACATGAGCCAAAACTAATTGAGGTTGATTTTGGAAAAATTGTCTCATTTTAACAGTCTGTATTACCTCTGGGACACTGCTGGCCTAAGCTGTATGGCCCACAGGCGAAAATTATGATAATTAGAGTAATTCTATTGTTTCTGTTACCAAATTTTTACAACTTGAACTTTGAATGTTTTTGTACCGTGTAATAAAATTTATTAAAAGCATATATAAGTAACTGATATTCCAATTAACCATAAGTTGACTTGTTTTGATGTTTTCTTTGCTAATCCTCCATATTTTAGCCACATACATGTTCATGCCTCTCATGCTTTAAACCTAAATAAATTTCAACTTCACTGCCATACCTCTGAAATTTTTTGAATTGACTAATCAGTAGATAAGACCTATCCCTACCTACCTCACCCGTAAGGCATTAATAAAAAGTGTAGGAGGCAGTGTGGTGTGGTGAGGTTCCAGCTCCAACTTTGTGACTTAAGATTTCTGTTACCTGAGTTTGCTGTAACAAATTACCACAAACTTGGCTTAAACAACAAATTTATCTTCTCACAATTCTGGAGGCCAGACGTTAGAAATCAGTTTCTCTGAGTCGATCAGTATGCTCCCTTGGGGGCCTGGGGAGGCCCCGGTGGCATAAGTGGGGAGGGATGCTGTGTTCCTGGAATCTTCCAGCTTCTGGCCTCAGCTTGAAGTTGCATCACTCCAACCTTCAAGGCCAATGTCCTGCATGGAATCTCCTCTGCCTTCCTCTTCTAAAGGCACTTGTGATTGGATTTAGTGTCCACAAATTACCCAGAGTAATCTCCCCATTTCAAAACCCTTTATCTAATCACATCTACAGAGACCCTTTTTCAAATAACATTTATAGGTTCAAGGTTAGGACTTGATATCTTTAGTGGCTATTATTCAGCCTACTATATCATCTCTAGGTTTAATAGGTTTTTCTATAAAACAAGGTGGTTACATCATATAATCTCTGGAAGTGTACCGGCAATAAAAATTTTCTGCAGTAATGAAAATGTTCTATATCTACTGTCCAGTACAGTAGACCCTAGCCACATGTGGCAAATGCAACTGAACTGAATTATTTTGATTTAAATAGCACATATGACTAATGGCTGCCATCTTGGACAGTGCATTTCTAAATTCTTGACTCTCTCAAGCACCTTTAAAAATTTCCATTTTCCCCCCAATGTTTTGCCCCCGGCTATAAAACTACTCACAGCTGTCACTTGCTATTGTTTAGTGTAATGGACTTCCAACTTTTTAGCCAAAACCCTTTTACCAAAAAAATTATTTGGAACACCAAAGTATAAACAGGGCTGCACTGGTGAGGCTGGGTGATGGGAAAGGGAGGAGGATCTGTGGCAGATTCAGGGGTTCCGCCTGTTCGCGGATCCCAAGTAACTCAAGGGGCAAAGAACCACCACTAGGCTCAGTAGAATGGAGGCATTTATGAAACAGTGGTTATTTTTGGAAACCATGTGCTAGAGACTTAAGTCAGACTTTAACACTTGTAGTTTTACATCTCTCATCTTGACAGTAGTTAGAAAACATTGTCATTTTCTTGGCCCATTTTCACTTTCTTTAGACCACTGTTTATGTGGTGTCTTATGCCTTGTTCCACCAGAACAACTTTATTTGTACCCTGTTAAGGCTTTATGACTGTTTTCTTTCAATTCACAGCACTCAGCTAAGGAAACCTCACAGGCCTTTACACTGGAAGCTGCTATCAATGGATCCATTGCAACCAAATCCAGATTTTTGTCTTTGTTCACTTTTCACAATACCTAGAATAGTACTTGGCCCATAGTAGATGCTTATTTACTAACTAAAGCTAGCATTTTAGTAGTATATAAATACCAAATACCAGTACTGTCATTGTTCCGATATTACAAGGACCAGTTTATAAAAATGATCCTACAGTACAACCAACAAATGACACTGAGTGCTTACCACTCACCAGGTATTAGATGTACTATGTATAAACTCGGCTTAATAACTACGATTACCAATGTACAGATAAACTAAAACTCACGTGGGTTTATGGCTTAAGTTTAAATGTTTAGAGAAACTATGCCAGGCACTTGGCTAGACCCTAAGAATATGGTGAGAACCAAGATGGACTTTACCTGTAATAGTCCAGAGCTTGCAGAATGTAGAGGCAGAGGACAGTCAGGCAAGTACACAAACCACAAAATCTAAGTATAAGGCCATTATAGAGCGCTATAGAAATCTAGAACAAAAGCACTTTTGTGTGGGAGTTTGAGGAGGGTAGGAAGGGGTTGATAGTTACAGAAAATGGGAAAGTGTGGTGGGGAGCATTCTAGCTAAGAGTATTTGGAGCCCTGAGGCCAGAAAGCAAGCTGCCATTTTTAGCAGAGTCTAAAATATCCACTGTAGCCCTGCGTATATTCTTACAAAATCTTCCCTTTAAGGTCACTTCTCTGCAGTTCTCATTGCTTTTCCCCAATACCTTTAAACCCATCCTGCCTCAGAGCCTTTACACTTGGCTTTCTCTGCCTTAAATGCTTCTCATCCAAATGTATGATCAATCACTGCATCTCGGCTCCTTCAGGTCTTTTGTATTCGGTTCACTAACCAGCCTTATCCGAAATGCCCTCCACTCACGAGGCATATATAGGTACTTCCTATTTCTCTTCCCCTTTTTCCTCTCTAGCAACTATGGCCTGCTAACATATTTGAATATATTACCTAAAGAACTTAAAAGGCTGGAATTTACAAAATGGAATATAAAAAAAAACAATGTTATGAAATAAGCATTAAGAATGACTCCAAGGTGAATATTAAATACCTTTATTTAAGACTTCTGGAAAATGAAGTGTCTGTAGACAGAGCTAGGCAACGGGAAGAACTTCTAGTACATACTGGGCTGTTCATCTTGCTGCCGTCACATTTCTTCTCATATGAAAATTTTCCCCCATCATCTCTAGTACTTACATATTCTAATAATCTAGCACCACTATGTCCTTTATATTCCTTCTTACAGCTCAAAAAAAATTTTTAAAAAGCTACCTTTGTACCAAATTTTGGAGAACTTCTATAGGTCTATGTAAATACTGTAAAGAGCTTATATTCTTAAATAATAGCTCAACTACAGTCTTTCCCTCCAAAAGCTGACTTAATCTGTTTAAATATTTGTCATACCAGGATACCAAATCTCAAGAGATAAGTGACTTTCCAGCAGTCACATCCAAAAAGTTACATATGAAGCTTATTCAGGGTTATAAATGTGACAGGAAATCAAGTCATGCACTATCCTGTTGCTTTACCTGTAAAATGAGAATAGCAGTGACTTCAAAGAGTTGTGAGAATTAAGATGAAAATAAAGCAACTGTCACACTGCTCTTCACAAGTATTGTGTTTCTGCTCTAACTCCTGTGAAGGTGCATGGACAGATGGTTGCTACAAGTTATACATTTGTGTTATAAACTGTAGAGTGACAGATCAGTTAAAATACCAGCACCACAGCATTCCAGCTTCAATGGCTTCTATCTGTAGTTTTCAACCTGTAAAAAAAGAAACAACCGGTTTCTAAGTGACTCTTTAAACAGAAAAACACTTTGAGGTATGTTCTTTTCAGTTTGTCTCACAGGATGTCCAGGGAAAGCCTCCTATACACGTGTTCCATCATTTGGATGTTTTCCACCTTCAAAGATAACCAAAGTCTCCAAATTCCCTTATCTAGTTGAAAACACTGGATGGTATACCCGGAGGAGTTTAAAAAACATGCCTGAAGATATTATCAAAGCTAAGATTAAATTTAAATTTATCACTTTGCTATAAACTATGTAAAAATATTACAAAGCTGCTCAAACAGAAAGGAATTTTCTGGTTCAGCTGTGACTCCAGACAGGATCCAAAGAGGAGTTTCACAATCTCTTCTCTGGGTTTTATGGAGACTTATTTTACCCTTCTGTGTTAGCCTCTTAAGGCACTGCGTCAACCTTAAAAGGGCACAGGAAAGGGCGATTTGGGTTTATAGGGTTCTCTACTGTTTCCTACACTACCGTTTCGTCAATATCCCGTGGATCTCAGCAGTTTCTTTAATAAGTCTGAAAACCCAGCAGAAGCAGATGTCTACTGGGTGGTGCCCGTGACCGTAAATTTCTTTTGTGTTAAGGAAGAGCCTGATTCCGGCCTTTGCACCAAACCCGCGCCCGGGAGTCGCCATTGGCCACGTGCTGGGGGCCTTGGTCATTTCATTTCCTTCAAGAACGGGAACATACCAGCGCTTGAAATTTAGGCCGCTGCACCCCGCAGACGTTGGCGACAAACTCCCCAGGCCCAAGGTCGGTCCGCGAAGAGCCCCCGCAGGCAGAGCGGCCGGACCCCTACAAAGCAGCCCCGGCTGCGCCCTGGAGAAGCAAAGCGCAAAGTTGTTACCGCGCCGGGGCCCGCCCGCGGGAACCCCCGTCCCCGCGCCTCGGCGCCGTGTCTGTGCCTCGCCGGCCCCGGGACGGGCACGGCCGCCCGCCCCCCAGGGCCGCCGAGGGCTGCTCTGCCCCTCGGTTCTGGCCGCCGGGAGCAGCGCAGCTCCGGGCGGGCAAAGCTTGAGGGGACGCGGGGCGAGCCCAGCCCCGCCCGGGCCCGCGGGCCCCCCGGGTGA